GAGATAAAGCTTTCTTATCAGAACTTAGTAGACGATCAAGAAGAGAAGACGGATACTTTTTCCGGTGAATGGGGTCACTCAGTAATGATTTATTAGAGTCAAGTTTCTTAACGAGTTTTGCGATTCTTTTTTTTGAGGCCTTTCTCAGAGCCTCCTTTGTCGATATTTTAGAAGAATCTGTGGCGCTTGACTTTGGTGGTTTTTTAAACTTGGGTTTTGAGATTGCTTTAGGGGTTGAGTTTGAGACAACTGGTTCAGTGGCAGGTTTTGATACTGGTAATATCGGTTTCGGTACTGATTTTACTGAGACTGCGGGTTTGGAGATTNGGTTTCGGTACTGGCTGTACTGAGACTGCGGGCTTAGAGATTATGCTATTGGCGGCTTTGGCATCGGCAGTGTCATCATTGCGTTTGATCGTGAGAGTCGTCTTGAGCAATCCAGTCGACTTTACATTGATTGTCGTCTTTGGATCATCAAAGACGCTTGGAACTGAGGATCGAGAACTGAGAAGTGAACTGATATCAACGTCCTCGTCGTCGCTGAGAATGACCATTTTTCTCTTCCGCTTACTCTTATTCAAGTTGGAGCAGTCATTTTCTTCGACTTCATGAGAAGTTGACCGTTTTNTTCTCGTTTTTGTTGAAGGTAGCCTCGAAACAACAGGAGCTGGTGCAGGCTTTTCTGGAAGTACCTTTGATTTAGATATTGGCTTTGCTGTTGTTGTAGAAGCAGCAGTTGAAGATGACTTTGTCGGATCCTTAGCTTCAGGCGTGTCAATTACTTTGTAGATTTTAGTAATACTCTCCAGATCAGGTTCCTTTTGAAGCGACGTTTTGATAATACTGAGGACATACTCATTGTGGTGTTCATATTCCGATGCAGAAAGAAGCCTGCGAATTCGCTGACTATAACTTTTCCGGTCAATGTTACCACTCAGCCATCTTTTCACAGTAGTTTGGTACCTGAAATGTAAAGGAAACATTTTATGACAAAATATTCAAAATCAACCAAAAACATACTCTTCAAATTTGTTCCCTAAAGAAAGCTCCAAGAGTCCTTCGTATATGCTGATTTGAGATCGGGCCTCGTTGAAAGGTACGTATAGTGAACTAAGCTCTTCGGTATTTTCGAAAAACCGCGAAGCGACTTTCCGACTTTGAGATTCATTGACGTCGTCACCTTCTTGTTCAGCAGTGTCAGGTTCTTTAGAAGCGACACTTAAATCCGCTTCCCTACTCCTTAAAACATCTCCCAGTGGAGTGCCTTCAAATGTGAGTGACGTGGAAGGAGTGTTGAGCGATGTTAGCGTCGACAAGGCATCGTTTTCCGTTCTTCTCAAGAGAGCTTCCAGCTGATTTTTATCAAGCTTAAACTTGCTTGGTTTTTCCTCTCTCTTCATCAACATCTCCCTCCATTGGTCAAGCTCATTTGTAGGGGCATCCTCACCTGCAGGGCTTAGCAGAGAGTCCTGGTTCACCAGGCTGATAAACTCGTCAAGATCAACAGCGGAAAAGTTGTTCGGTTTGGCGGTCAATGGCTTCTTAGTGGACCGAGGTTTTGCTGTCGCTGTGGCCGATGTACCGCCAGTACTGATCAAAGGTGAGTTGCAGTTTGATCTGACTGCTTCCGCTTTCCTTTTTGAAGCAACTGCAACTGTGGCTTTGATTTTCTGCAGCACGGCTTCTCGCGGTTCCACCACAGCCCCTTCGACATTGTTCTGGACAATGTCGACCTCCTCCTTCTCCTTTCGAGTCGTTTCACTCATGCTGCCCTTCAGTCTTCATGCGAGGCAAGGTATTTTTTCGAGCTGTCTTCGGTCTGTATTGCTTTACGCCGGCATCCATTCGCGCTCAGGTATGTTCTGCTGAATTTACAAGTAAAAAGTGAGAACAATTAGGAAAGAGAAGAGAACATGTTAGCCAAATAGCTGACATGTCAGTGTGAGATGCGTGCACGTGCCAAGTGCGCTTTCTCCCCACTTACCGGTTGTGAACTGGTTGGACATTAGAACTGGATGAACAGTGTGAATGATGGCTGATGGCGATGGAAAATCGAATCCACCATGCTTTTCGAGGTTGAGGTGAGAAATAGAACAAGGACAGGTGATGTCTTGTTGTTGTTGAGTAATCACCCAGCTGACCCAGCTGACACGAACAATAAAAACAAACACAGTTTAGAGAGGATGTGATTGGGCAGTGGAAAGTGGCGGCAAAAGAGATCACTTTGATGGGGAAACTAAAGGCGCTACAGGGTCTTTCCTAGAAGAGGATCTGCTCTTTCTGATGCCCGGGCTCTGGTGCTGGAACGCCCTCTCTGGAACGGGTTAGGGCGCGGTGATAAACAAAGTGGTAGACGAAAAATGTGGCTCCTTGTTTTTGCCTTGGAGCAACGTTGGTAGTGCAACATGGACTGTCGCCCAACATTGAGCCCTCGTGGTTGCCTTTCCCCTGTACAGTCACGTCCACTGTTAGTGGTGCCGCCCAGGGTCGTAGTGCCCGCGATAGTTACATTCTTTCCTGCAGTAGACGACGTTATTGTTTGGGTCACGTGAATTTCGACAAACATTTTTATTTTGTTGTTTGAAAAACAAAAAGCACCTTTTTGTCTTTTTGAAAATTAAAAGTTTTTTGCGATTACTTTTTATAAGAAAATAAAGTGTAACACTTTTTACTCTGCTAAACACCTTAATTTGCTTATAGCTAGACTTTGTTTTGATAAAATGTGCGGCAAACGTGTGTTTTCAAGATTCAAACACAGTTTTGTTGTACTTCAGCAAACAAACAAGAAGGTGCTTCATCTTTTGGCACCAATGACGAGAATGCCTGCCAAATGCCAAATAAAGTAGAATGTAAGCATATCTACTTTTGATTGTACCTTGTGCCATCTACAGACTAGAATGTCATCATTACCAGAATATTCTCTTTTCTTTGACAATGTCACACACATTTGGTCTCTCAAATTCAAAGGTCTTGAAGACGATTGGCAAATTGTGAAGGAGTTACACCGGCGCCAACTTGGCCAGATTCCCCGACAGTTAGCTGACGGTGTCTCACTTTAAATTACCATCAGACAGTCAACTGTCAGTCGCACCTGGCGTCGGACTGCACACCGGACTGGACTTTAATCACCGTCATATAAATCGCCACAATCACTGGCGTCACTGGTATCCCGCTGGCTGTAAATACTGGTAAATTGCCGGCTGCTCATCACTCATTCATTCAGTGACCAGTGCAATATCCTCCAACCACTGCGAAGAGCAAAGATCAGATTGTCATCGAGGCAAAGTCTCGTCATTATCCCAAACCTCAGTGCTACAGACCACAGACTAGCAGGCGCCAACCAGCAGTGCCTACCAGAAGGCGACAAATGACACATCACTCCTGCTCTTGCTGCTACTGGTGTATAGTTTGATAACACCGAAAGCTATTCACCACACCACTGACGCCAACTGCCTCTTTATTTCCTACTGCTGATATCGAGACTGATATCACACACGGTCGACATTAGCGCCTTATAAAGTGCAAGTCTTCGCTGATAGACGCTCTCAGTTTTTCTCGCTGATAGTGCTGAATCAAACTACCGTTTTGTGTTCTACACTATTTTGTGTCTCGTATTTCATCTCAACCTTTAGCTGTCACCTCACTGAACCACAACACAATGGCAATCATTCCCACCGATCTTCAGTCCACCGTGGCCGCCTTCTCCGCTGATCTGCAGCAGAAGGTCACAGAGTGGTTGCAGTGGGACAAGGTAAGGACTGATTTGGTTCGATTTTTATTTGGCAATCATCTTATCTTCTAAACAAAACAGAATGAAAAGACTCGCCAGTCGATACTGGATCTGATCAAGGACAACAATGTCGCCCGTCTCTCTGAGCTGCTTCTGCAGCGACAGGCCTTCGGCACGGCCGGCATTCGGGCGCTAATGGAGCCCGGCTTCAATGGCCTCAACGACCTCGTCATCATCCAGACCAGCCAGGGACTGGCCAAGTATCTGGTGGAGCTGCAGCAGAAGGTAGTCAACGGAGGCGATGGCGGCTCTAAACCCCAGCGCAGCGTCGTCATCGGCTTCGACGGTCGCTACAACTCACTTCGCTTCGCCAAGATCAGCGCCCGCGCCTTCATCCACTGCGGCTACAAGGTGTACCTCTTCTCCCGCGTCGTGCCCACGCCCTTTGTGCCCTTCTCGGTGCGCCACTTCTCCGCCTCTGCCGGGGTCATGGTGACGGCGTCGCACAACCCGAAGATGTACAACGGCTACAAGGTGTACCTGGACAACGGGGCGCAGATCCTCTCGCCGCACGACCGCAACATCCAGGCGCACATTCTCCAGAACCAGGCGCCCTGGGGCGACTTCATGTGGGACACTGACTCGCTGACGTACGAGAGCTCGGAGCAGTGGCTGGTCGACCCGGTGGAGGAGGTCATGGAGAGGTACATGAGCACCCTGGTGGGCAATGCCACCCAGGCGCCGCTGGTGGCCGCCACCGACCTGCACGCCGTGTACACGGCACTGCACGGCGTCGGCCACGAGTGCCTCACCGAGGCCTTCAAGCGGCTCGGCTTCCGCCACTACTTTCCCGTGCTCACGCAGAAGGACCCCGATCCGGAGTTTCCCACCGTCGTCTTTCCCAACCCTGAGGAGGGTCAGGGCGTTCTGGTATGCTTGTTTTGATTGTTTTGCATTTGTGGTATTTTTATTGTTTTTCCATTTTTCAGGACGAGTCCATCCGAACCGCCACCGAATCGAATTCCACGCTGATCATCGCCAACGACCCTGACTCTGACCGGCTGGCCGCCTCTGAGCTGCACGGCACCGAGTGGCGCGTCTTCAACGGCAACGAACTGGGCGCTCTGCTCGGCTGGTGGATCTGGAGTCAGTTCGAGGAGCGGAACAAGGGCGCAGTGCCCAAGAGCGACGTCTTCATGACCTCCTCGGCGGTCTCCTCGAAGATCCTCGAGACGATTGCCAAACGGGAGGGCTTCACCTGGTTCGAGACGCTCACCGGCTTCAAGTGGATGGGCAACTACGCGGTGGACCTGCACGTCAAGGGCAAGACGGTGCTCTTCGCCTTTGAGGAGGCCATTGGGTTCATGGTGGGCACGCAGGTCTTTGACAAGGACGGCATCACCGGCGCCGCCACACTGCTCCAGCTGGCCGCCTACCTCCGCTCGAAGGGGTCCACTCTGCTGGATCAGCTGAATGAGATCTACCGCACCTATGGCTTCCACTACAGCATCAACTCCTACTTTATCTGCCACGACCCGGCAAAGATTGAGCGCATCTTCAATCGAGTTGCCGATCTCAACGGGCCCAATTCGGTTCGTTGCCCGCTTTTGCTTATGAACATTTTTCTGATAACCTCTTTTTCTCGCAATAGTACATCTCTGAGGTGAATGGCANTGCTGGATCAGCTGAATGAGATCTACCGCACCTATGGCTTCCACTACAGCATCAACTCCTACTTTATCTGCCACGACCCGGCAAAGATTGAGCGCATCTTCAATCGAGTTGCCGATCTCAACGGGCCCAATTCGGTTCGTTGCCCGCTTTTGCTTATGAACATTTTTCTGATAACCTCTTTTTCTCGCAATAGTACATCTCTGAGGTGAATGGCATTAAGGTGGTGCGAGTGCGAGACCTCAATCGTGGCTATGATTCCTCTACTACCGACAAGAAGCCTGTAAATGTGGAAATTGAGGGAAAAGTTGAGGTGTTAGTTTAACCATCATCTTTGTATTTTTTCCAGACCTTGCCCACGAGCACCTCTTCGTTCATGTTGACGCTCTACTTTGCCAACGGCAGTGTCATCACCTTTCGAACTAGCGGAACGGAGCCCAAAATTAAGTATTACTCGGAAATGGTGGCTGATCCTAGTCAAAAGTGAGTAAAGTTGATTTATTTTGAAAATCTACTTTATTGGACTAAACCATTGTCACTTTTTCAGAGATTGGAACCAAGTGAAGGAGAGCCACCGAAGCCTGGTGGAGGCAGCAGTGGAGGCAGTTTTAGAGCCGAAGAAAAATGAAATTCAGCCTAAAAAGGACTAGTCAACAACAGCTCTATTCTTCCTCAATGTACATGTTCACTTCAGTTTAGTGGGTCAACAAAAATAAAGTCAAAAGTGTTTATTTTAAGATTTCCCTCTTGTGCACCATTAAGTGGTTCAAACGGCAAACTCCAAGTGGTTATCAAAACCGGCGATAACTTAACGTGGTTGTTTGCATAACAGACTTTGCAGTGTCAATCCGGATTAAGTGCAAAAAATGTTCAGATAATGGGGTGATATAAAGTTGGAGCCGACTTTGGCAGATCATTACCACTACCACTACTACTACTGATCATGTTCTTTTCTCCATTGATCACTTTACTGGTCCTCGGTGGTGGCTCTTTGGCCCTCGGTGAAGTCACGACCACTCC